AATCAAAGATTTATCATCCAGAGCATTCGATTCTTTAGTAAACATTCGTAATGAAACTTATTATTTATATCGGNATGTTTAAATTATTTATAATTTTTACAATATAAAATCTTTTGTATTATTTAAATAAATTGTTATTGTTTGAAGGCAATTAGTTTGTTTCATGAGCTTGGTAGCTTTAAACAAATGGTTTGATTTCCAGAATAAATTTAACATTACTTTATACATAATTGGAAAAGTTCCTCTATAATAAAAAGAAAAATAATATTTTACAAAATTCTACTAGTATAAAAATATAATTTTTTTTATTGTACAGTAATATTACATGCATAGATGTTATACAATACTAATTTTGATAAATTTATTCCTTAAGATGTGAGTATTTTATTGTTTATTTTATTTTAGGTAGGCAGATATACTTTAATTTTTAAACAAAAAATTCAACTCAAATGATCAAAAATACCCTCAGCTAGTTGTTTTTATTAGAATTTTTTACTTAATTTTTGTGCGTTGCTGAAAATATTTACTGTCGTCGTGTGTTTTAATATATAAAAATTTGGAAACACTATTAAAAAGAAAAATGATAAATCTTATGATCATATTTTATCAAGATAAATAGAGATTTGTAACAGAATATTTGTATGAGAACAGTAATTAAAAAACTTAATGATATAAAAAAAATAATTGAATTATAATTATATGATTTTTATTTAAAATGTGACTCATGTTTAACATTATATCAATTATGAGTCAGGGCCGCATATGTAGTATAACAAGAGTTAATGAATTACTAGAAAAACAATCGATTTTAAAGTATTAAAAATTAAAATAAAATTCTATATAATAAAAAAAATATTATTGTACAATATTCCATTAAAAATATAAATGTTTGAAATTGTATTTTATTATTGCATGTACGTAGGACATTCAATTTGTTCAAAATTTTAGTGGTGTTTATGCGAAATACTAAATAAGAAAAATACTTATTTTAGAACTACTTAAATACAGTTGAATAAATTTTATATTTCTTTCAACAATAAATTATGTTCTTGTTTATCGAGACAAGTTATAATTTGAATTAAATAAATTATTTGATTAACATGAAAAGAATGTATTAATAAGTTTNAGATACATTCCGAACACATCGAACCACACCTGGCAACACAAATTGTCAGCTTTTAATAGTATGGTTTACAGATTAATTAATATTCCGATGAATAAAATAGATTATGATAAAGAATTGGTGGTTATAAAAGAAATAGCTAAATTTAATGGGTATAACGAAAACATAATTTTGAAATTAGTCCGAAAACAAAAGTGGAAAAAAGAAAGGAGGGCAGCTAGTACACTCTCCAGCGAGGGGGAACAAAAAGTAATTAGATCACCAATTTTATTTTATCCGGGCATCTCAAATGGATTAACTAAAATATTTAAGAATTTTGGTATTACTTTGGTAACATCTAAGAGTAATAATTTAAGAGATTTATTAGGTAACCCTAAAGATAAGGTAGATGAAGGGGGGAAATCAGGCATTTATAAAATACAATGTGAAAGTTGTAATAAATGTTACGTAGGACAAACAAAAAGAAATATAGGGGTCAGGTTTAAAGAGCACTTAAGAAATATTAAAAATCAAGAAGTTGAGAAATCTCCGGTAGCTGAACATTTATTGACACATAATCACTTCATTAAAACCATAAAACTAATTAAAAACGTAAATATTTACAAAGAACTTAATATCAGAGAAGCAATAGAAATGTTTAAAAATAAAAACAATTTAATTAATTGGGATCTTGGCCCACTGAAAAATTCATTATTAAACTTGTGTAAACTGGCAAAATGTGATAATATTACTTAGTGATAACGTCACTAGGTGATAAGGTCACTAGGGGTATATAAGGGAGTTTTTTCTAGTCGGGGTGTCAGTATGTGTTTAGCGTTGATAATGGTAACATTGTTTCCGAAATACGTATCCGCGACTTTTCATTAATTTTTTTGTGGCTTTTGAGTTTAATATTTTTAATATTTTTTAGTTTTTTTAAATTAATAATATTTTTAATATAGTTTTAATTTTAC